CCCCAAAACCCCAAAACCCCAAAACCCCATCACTCATAAATCAAATTAAATCAGTGAATATGTTAAATAAATTCAAGCAACTTTTCCTAAAACATCTTGATGAATGTTTTAAAAAGTATTCTTGATCAGTGATGCTTTTCTTTATGTCCGTGGCTATCATTATGGGAATTATCATGATGCTCAGTAGCATGTCCATGATCTGCTCCATGACCATGTCCATGATCTTCATGTCCGTGACCATGGTGAGAAGGAGTAAGTGCTTATCTGAAATAATACCAGCCCATATATCCAAGAATGCCATACTTAAGATAACCTCTTAGTATACCTTTCTTTGAGAAAGGGTAACCATACTCTCTTGAGTTGGATCTCCATCTTAGAGTTCTTCTGAAAAATAATGGTCTGTTCTCTCTGAGTTGAATTTATTGGTCAAGGTAATATTTGAAGAGCTTTTTAGGTTCACCTACTTTTTGTGTTTCCATTTCTACTTTATAAAATGATTATAATTTAATAATTATCAAAAGAGATTAAATTAATAATTAGATTTTTTTATTATCATCTATGATGAATGTAAGAAACATTCTATTCTACCGTTTATAATCTATAATTTTATAGTAAGCACCTTAAGGTATGACCTAGTAATAAATGTAACAAATGGCTTAAATGCAACAACATCCATAGATGTTTGAATAGGACATGATAGGAGCTATCAAGATAAAAGATGGCCTCTTTATTGGTGATGAATTGGCTAGTCAAGTAAGTTACCATTACCAAGTTTAGAAACAGCCGAAGCTATAACAATGTTAACTAAAATTTTACATTTTTACTCTTAACTTTCTCTTGATGCAGGTTATTCATAAAAATTTAAATTATAGGATCTTGAATTTGTTGTGGCTAATAAAGTAACTCATATTATCAACTGTGCAGGCAAATAAATACCAAATCACTGGGAGCCTATAGGAGTAGCTTATCTTACATTTTTCTGGCTTGATTAAGACAATTAAGTAATTTCTTTAAGCTTTAAACTTCTTCTTAGATTGTTTTGGATGTTAAAGATGAAGCATCAAATGCAATATTTGAATTCATTGAGGAGGCTGTTGAAGCAACAGAGAGTGTATTAGTTCATTCAGTTAGAGGTTAGAGTAGAGCAACATGCTGCTTAGCTGCTTATATAATGAGAAAGTATCGCTGGTCTTTATTGAAAACTCTCGAGTTCTTAAACTCAAGAAGGCCTGATTTAGAGATTAGAGCTACTTTTATTCATTAACTGTCAGCATATGAGGCGAGACTTTAAAATTAATTAAAATTGCCGATCACTTAAAAATGGGATGAGATCTCTAATCCAAGAGTAAATATCGAATGTGAGGAGCTTGTTTTGAGAAATACATTTGTAAATGCTCAGATGGGTCCCTTAGCAGATTTAAGAGTTTTCAATGATGAAGGTATAGAGGATACTGCACCTCAAGTAGCTGCTATTAAATGGCTTGATGGCCATGAAAATGACAAAATAAAGTTGATTACCAATAAATCAGAAGATGATTTAATCTATAAAGAGGAAGTAGGAGCAATTTAAAATCACAAGGAGCATCATAGGAGACCTAAAAGAATAATCAAACCATTCTCTTTAGATATGACAGAGGTCACTGGAGTTTAAAATATCTAGAATATAAAGGCTTTACTAGCTTAGTAAAGTCATCGTTAACCAACTTAGGAACAAAATATTTAGCAAAAGCAAAAATCTGAAAATAGCAAGCAAACTCCTAAGAAATAAAATCAAGTAACATAGTCAGATTAAATAAAAGACATTTTTTATCAAAAAAAGGAAGAAAAAACTAACAATAATAGTGATTTGTAAATAATGAGTGCCGATGAATTAGACGAGAATGATGATATTATAGATCAAGTAATAGAGGAGGATATTAAACAGCAAAATCTTGATTTAAATTTGATGTCAGAAGATGACATTAAGATACAAAAAATCTCAAAAAAGGATGAGAAAGATCTTTCGCCTAGTAAATTAGGAAAAAAGGTACCGTCATAATAAAATATATAAGATAGTAAAATCATAAAGACTGATTAAGGGACCCATCCTATGAATAATTCTTAGAAATTAAGCTAGCCAAGTACTTAGGATAAAAAGATTAGCAGACTTGAAATATAAAGTGATGATGATAAGAGGCCATTAATTCTATCAAGAAATGCTATTATGAAAGCTGAATCTGCTAATACTGAAATAACATAACAGAGGTCGACATATTAGAAAGAGCTAATTGGATAAAAAGAGCTACCTAATTAGTAATCTATAAATATCTACTTTACAATGATTGGTGGTGATATTCCCAAGACCACTGCATAAATAGCACCAGCAGTTTAATAAAATCAAAAATAGTTTCCACCTAGAACTTCATCTACACCCGATTAGATTAATCCTCGAAATCCACCAAGTTTTATTCCTATGTAATAATCTCAGCAATAAGTGATAAAGGCACAAAAAGGAAAATCTAAGGCAAACAATACAAGATCATTAAGCCTAACTTCTCAAAAAGAGATTTTCGGAAACTAAATTAATACTCAAGCTCATAATTAGACTGCACTCTACTAGTAAAATCCAATGAATTTAATGTAGTCTTAAATAGAAACTTTATCTAGAACTCAAGTTTTGAATGCATCAGCATTTACCACTGGAAATATTTATAAAAAGAAATAAGTTGCCGGATTTAATCAAACTGTTGCAAATATTGTGAAGAAAGAACTTCTTAAAAGAAATGAAAGTCCAAGAAGTAGGAGATAGGTATTATCTAATATAGCAGCTTAGAACAAAAAGAGTATATTTGGAAATAATTTATCAGGAATTCCAGGTTTTGGGGGATCAATGCATACTCAGCCAATGGGTTAGCTTGGTAATATTAATAACTTTAATATGTACGGGACCCAAGATCTTACATATTTTCCAGGTGAATCAAAGTTATTCTAGTAAATGCCTGTTAGAATCGGAACTCACTAATTTAAAGCTACGAATGCTCAATAGAAATTAAAATAAAAGAAGAATATGTTCTCAGAATAATAAAATAGTCTCAATCAAAGCCTGATCAATTAACAGAATCAGTTATTTAATAGAACTGGGCCTATAAGGTTGAATAATTAAGTCATTCAAACCTAGAGTGATGATGATCAAATATTATTGTAAAGTGAAATTCAGGAGTAGAGAACTGGTTTCAAGATTAAGAATCAAAGCATGACCAAGAGTGGGCAGCCATATAATATCATATATCAAAACAGTAACTAGCATCAAAGAAAAGCTAATTCAATTCCAAAAACTTCAGCTGTCGAATCCCCTTAAGCTGCATTGATCTAAAACTAGATATAGCATAGAAATCATAGCTTAGGCTAATCTGAAAAGAAAAATACTTAAGTAAGTATCAGCAATGGTTTTAGGCCTGGAACAGCTCCCCATTAGAATCCTACTGGCATGATATAATAATAGTAGCAAACATAAAAAAGACCTGTTAGTCCTTTTACTAAAATGAATCAATAGGCATCTAATTAGCTTAAAAGTAAGAAACATTTCTCTTATTAAGTATATATAGATCATGTTCAATAGAAGAGACTTTCAGACGCTCAATAGCAAAGCTTCAAGTAAAGAGTTGGAGAATTAAGATCTTAGTCACCAGGTGGATAAAAACTAAGCAATAATAGCTAGGGAAGTTAAATCATACAAAACTAAGGAAATAGCTTAGTTATCAATGGAGGAATTGTATAGAGTGGCCCATTTTTCCCAATTAATAATAACTCTAGGGGCATAAGTCCTTACTCAAGAGGACAAGGTATTATTGGCACTTAAAGTACAAATTCACACCACAAGCAGCAATGATGGGTTTTTATTTTAAATATAAAATATATATTAATCAATCGAATACACTCTTATCCCTTGAGTTGCTTTCACTTACTAATAATTTAAATTACACCAACTATATTTTATAAATACCTATAATTAGGGGTTTTGGGGTTTTGGGG